CGATTTCGTTTGAAAATACCCGACTTTACTGCGCTATTGCAAATCCGAAGGCAGAAAATATGTATTTTTTCGTTTGAAGGTTATCGAATCTGGAGATGGAGTTTCTCTATTGATTTATAGGATTAAATTACATTTCCTTCGAAAACTGAAAACGAAAATAAAATGAACGCGAACAACACGAGTGCTCGTAGATCTTCTGTTATATATATAATCGTACCATCGAAGAATATTGTTCTTATACTTGGGATCACACAAATTTCAATTTCATACTTTTACTACTTGTCTCGCATGAATTCACATATAATCTCGTTATTTCCTGTAACTACTAGTTTTAGCATGTAATTAATTTTTTTTCGTCTATTTTCCCAACAAGGATTTCCACGATTTAACTGAATTATACGATCTAACGCCGACATATATAGATACGCGTACGTACGTGCTACGTGTATCAGTTTGCTTATTAAATGAACCCTACTAACCGCTTTGACGACACGATCGAGGGCTGGGAATCGTTTCACGAGCCATGCTTTTCAACGCCCCCACCCCCTCTTACATAAAATTTAGTTATATGTGGCGAATCAGAAGGGTAGATATTTTACCAAACGAAACTCCACATAGCAACGCGCTGATTTTCCTGGCTCTAATTTTCACTAAACCAACTACCCTTTCTACCAATTGCAAAGGGCGTTTATCTTACCTAATTAATCGTTCGAGTAGCAATGATAAGTCATGACCGTGATTATTTCATGTTTTCTAAACCCTTCCCACGTCGTCCCTTTCCCTCCGATTAGGCAAATATATACATATATATGAATTAATACGTCTACCTTAACGCATGTACACACCATGCATATACTTATAGGAACGTGAAATGACGACACGGTATTTGTTGCATCGTACATTTTGTTGAATCGGTCTTTCTAATTATAAAATTCATTTTGATAATTATTTCCACTCAATTCACATTACACCGGCACATATACATATGTATATAATTGATATTTTTCTTTTTGTTCTTTTGTTTTTTTTTTTTGCTTCTTTTTTTTCGACATGTCAAGCTTTCAAGAGCAGATACGATCGTGTATGTCACCGCAAGACTAGAGAGCAGATGTCGATCAGCCCTTTTATACAACGGCGATCGGATCCATCTAATCCTCTGGCTTCAGGCTTGTTCGGGAAGATAGGGATGAGAGAGAATTTAATATACTACCAGATGACTCAGAGATATGGTCATGCCGTTTGTCTCTCTATTGAAACAAAAAACGTTGCTTTCGATCGCACACTCTTGCTATTTTCCTCAAACGTGTCTAATATCCTCTCAAACTTTTTTTTTAATATAATACACAGATACGCACAAAAAAATTCAGAAGAACGTATAAAAATATAATATATTAACAATGAACGGAAAATAAAAGGATTTTCGTGAATAATTCGTTACGAGGTGGAATATGAAAGATAGAAGGGAAAAAAAGTGGTAGGGTGACGGAACCGGTAGTTGTAGCAGTTGTGTTGTGCAGTATAACATGGGTTGCTTTAAAAGAGTAGAAGAAGAAAAAAGAACGACTGTACACACATTCTATTCAGGAAAAGTCGGCGGTGCTTTGTAACAAGCAACACCGACACAATCGAAAAGGCGAGATATTAGAAGCCGCAGAAGAGAGCTTTGCTCTCGCATTTGGCCAGATGCAGGAGACAGGTAGTAGCACTCGTGTTAGTTTTCACGTGCGACTGTTAAAAAGGCAAAGAAGGATCCCCGAAGCTGTTATTAATGGAAAGGGATGAGGGAAGCCAAGCTACTATGCGCGTTTACCCTTAACACGAGCCTCTTCGTGTAGTTCATTGTGGGGTCTTCCACGAGTCTCTTCCAACAGAGAAAAAAAACAGACGAAAGAGAAGAGAAGAGAAAAAGAACAAGAAAAAGAAAAAGGAAAATAAAAAAGGAAGAGAGAGAGAGAGAGAGGACCAAAGCTGATATATACACGCTTACATCGAGGATACATAGACGTTCTTGCTTCATCCTTCTCTCTCTCTCTTTCTCTCTCTCTCTCTCTCTCTCTCTTTCTCTCTCTCTCGCTCTCTCGCTCTTTATCAAAGAGGCGTGACGAGGGTGCGCTCTGCGAAAACCCAAGAGAATCGAAGATTCCTTGTACGAGCTTTACTCTCGTGCTATGTATGTATGTTCTCTCTCTTCTTTCTTTGTTACTCCTTTTATTGCATGTTCACGGTATTCTTATTTGCTACCGCCTACGCCTCGCATATATATATATATATATCTTCTCGTATTACTCTTATATGCGCACTTCTCTCTTATTTCTCTACGTTTTCACGTGCACACGTGTATATACATTGTGGGCGTATGCGTAAGTAGAAAGACGAGCATCTTCGATCTTCCTTCTCTACGCTTGGATAACTCTATCTTCTTTGGTAACAACACTATGAACTTTGATATTTAATCATATTTGTTTGAATCCTTCCAAAAAGATGAGTATGTATTTATATATTCTTATATACTTCATTTTGGAGAGATATGTATGAATATACGAAATAGAATGACCGGTCATTTAATCAATGAAAAAACGAATATGTAGGGTAATGTTTTTCCTTTAAGAAAATATGCTTGGTGTTATTAAGTTTTCGGAGCGTAAAAGAAATGGTTTAATATATACGGTATTTTGGATCGATCGATCAATCGAGTATACGTTTTATTGATACTCGAGAGAATATATATATTTTGCAAACTTTATTTATCGATGTTGATTCTCTCGCCAACGAAGAATCGATCCGAGTTTAATAATTATCGGTAACTTTGGTGTTTTTAGTATTAATGGCTAAGGAGAAGAATTACATCCGAACGTTTTCTAATTGGCCGCGTCACTTTATTTCTTCGCCCGCATCATCGCGTCGTGTTGTTTGTCATCGATGAAATCTATCCAATCCCCTTCTTTCTATCTTTCCGATTATTCCTTTTTTTTCTCGTCTCTTGGGTTGCGATGCTGAGAGGAAAGAAAAAAAAAACAGATAAAAGAGAAATATACTAACAGATAGACTGGAGACGAGAAAAAAGAAAAGAATGGGAGGAGCAGAAGGACAAGAAATAAAAGAGGAAAGAAAAGAGGAGAGAAAAGAGGAGAGAAAAGAAGAGGAAGAGGAGAGTTCTTTGCAGAAGGAAGGAGGGCGATATAATAGAGAGGCGGAAAGAACCATGAGCAAAAGTGAGGGAGAGGGAGAGAAAATGAAGGTGCCTTTGTCTCGGCGCAGAGAGCCGGCATAGAAGCCAACCACGGTGCGCCGACTCCTTCGTGCTCCTTCGTGCTCCTTCGTGCTCGTTCGCGTTCCTTGGTCCTCCTCCTGCACCATGGTCCCTTCGAGCTCCCTTGGTTCTCTCCCCAGCTACGCTCGTCGTGACACCGTGCGGCCTTCGGCGGAAGACGACCAACATCGTCGTCTTCGTCGTCGTCGTCGTCGTCGTCGTCGAGTTGCCAGAGATGAAGATGAACACGGCAATGACGTACACGAGACCTACAACTTTTTTTCTATGTTAGAACAATAGCCAACTTTCCCTCTAATTTTCTACTATTTTTCTATTTTCGATTCCGTTATAATACACGTCATTTTTAAATGCGTACGATTTCAATTCCATACTCGAGCAATTAAAAAAAGACATAATATTTGTTTTAATAGTAGATAACATAAGCAGGAAAGTGAGCGTATACGCAGTGTTAGGATAATGGAACATCTCGATAGTGGAGCATGCAAACATGTGTCTACTATCGGAAATTGGCAACGAACTTTTCTCACCTACATTTGCTATACTATCACTATGCTACTATTATTATTATTGCTACAACTATGTACTGCTTGCCTTTCGTTCTCCAAAACAGTAATTTCATTTGCATCTCCGTTACTTCTCATCACGCTTTAGATACAGGAATTAACTTGAACCACTGAATTTCGACCTCTCCAGAAGTTCTCGTTAATCTCTTATATATTTTTAAATCGTTGAATAATTCGATGAAACAAGATAGAGATGCTTGTGAATATCAAAAGCGAGGGAAAATTGGAATAAAGGAGAGGGATAAAGAAAAAGAGATCCTTCCAAGAGTTTACACCACTCGAGAAAAATATAAATTTCAAATATGCCGCGTCTCCTTCGATACAGTCGTCGTGTATTTTTTGTTGAGAAAGGGGCATTCGAAGTCAGTTTAATTAAACGAAAGGTGGTGGTCTATGCAACGAGTTTTACGAAGATTTTAGGCTCTCCGTTGACTTTTTCCCTTTTTCTTTTTTCCTCGGGGAAATATTTAACGTGATCTGGGTAAGCTACGTGCATGCTTTTACTTGTACGAGACATCGTAGAGTAGCTCGCTTTAATCGCCGTAATAAAGTGCAAATTAAATGCTGGGATCGAATCGCTTGGCTTTGCCAGGGAATAAGAAAGAGAAAAGGAAAGAAAGAAAGAAAGAAAGAGGCAGTACGACTTCCACCCTTTTTCTCATCGCAGCAGTGATGGGTTCTATGAAGAGAACAAAGGAAGCTCGTGGAAAGAAGAATTTACAAGAATTGTTGATGTACAAATTTAAAGAACTCGGAGAATCTTAAATACGAGTCATTTTGCTCGCTTGAGAGATGATAATCAGTCGATTAATGCCGAAGCATTAAGGCGTACCGACGTACATATAGTAGTAGTAGTAGTAGTATATATACTGCTTTAAATTTTCAAGCCCCTCTTCCCTTGTCTTAACGGCTTTGCTAATGGTAACAGCCCAGTTTTGTCTGAAAGATAGAGAATACAAGCTTTTCATATAAACGCGGTCGGTAACACGTTCTTATCGCAACGAGTAACGGATTAACGAAAAAAAAAAGAATAAATAAGAATTATTATTTGAGAAATGTGAATTTTGTCTGATGCAATTATTCTCAGAATTTAAATGATTTTGTTTAGTTGAAAAAAGATAAATTTGTACGTAATATCATAACACGACGATGAAGAGCAACGTGGCCCTTCGATCACTAGCGACGAGCCTGCACGGAGTTAGTCGAGTGTTGCCGAGTTTGGTCGAACTCGGTGGAGGCCCGCAGCCATGTGTTGTGGCCTGTCGCCGCGAGTGCTTTGTGACAAGGGAGGTGCGGTGTCTGGATTTTTTTTCTCTTAGTTTACTCTCTCCTCTTTAATCGGCAAACATCGTCAATAATTTTATCGCGAATATAATTATAATGTCGTTGAAAATGGACGGCTCGCGATACGCGCGGTGCTTGTGAACGTGTCTCGTTAAACTGGAGTTTCGAACGACGACGAGGACGAGAGGAGGACGTCGGAGACGATTACGAATACGACGAGGAACGTTCTAGCTGGAAAAAAAGTCGACAATTTTCTTCGAAAAAAAAAATCAGAAAAAGTGTGTGCTAGTGCAATAATTAATCCTTTCGCTTTGATTCCGTGAACAACGTTGCTAGTGGTCGTTGACGATACTCAGACGGGGGGACAAAAAAAAAGGAAAAGAAAATAATAGTCGACGACGGCGAGAAAAAAACGTTGCTTCGATCTCTCGCATCTCTCTGGCATCTGTACGCACGCGTGTACGTGTGCGTGTGTGTGAGTGAGTGTGCGTGTGTGTATGTGTGTGTATTCGCGTGTGTATATGTCGTGTATAACGTGCTTATTATCATTTCGTCTATATACATACTTATATACGCGTGTGTAGAGTAGCTTGTTGTGCCTCGCGGGTGAATGCGAGTGAATGCGTGTGAATGCGTGTGAGCCGCGTAACATCGTGTGTCTCGTTTCTTAGCACGGTTACTTTCGGTATCGCCATCTCTTTCTTTCTTATCGCGGGAGTAACTGCGATCACCGAGGACGACCGTACAGTGAAAAGAAAGACGGATACGTACGAGTAATAGAAGATAGACGAAATAGACAAAAAGACAGAGTCGAACGATCGGATATATATGCACGGAAAGAAGACAAACATATGCGTATGCATTACGGTGAGTTCAAAGAAAAGTAAGAAAGGTGCGAGAGAAAGAAAGAAAGAAAGGAAGAAAGAAAGAAAGAAATGATCTCTCGAGTTCGTGTGTGCACGGGGAGTTCCTTTGGGTGAATGGATGTGCGCGCGCATTCTTCGCGCGTCGTAAATCGAAGGAGCGAAAACCTAATCGTTGTCCTTCGATTTTCTTCATTTGAGAAATACAATGAAATGTGAGGGAGGGGGGAGGGAAAGGTAGAAAGAATTTCTTCCGTTAATTGCAACGGAAATAAAAAGATAAAAAACAAATTTTCTTGAAGGTAGATAACTTGTGGTTGTAGGAACCCTTGCGGAAGTGTCCAACTTACGAGAACCATCTGTTTCTCTTGTAAATAAAGAGAGAGAGAGAGAGAGAGAAAGAGAGAAAGGGATATAGTAATGGTCGGTAGGTACGAGAGAGGCAGGTGTCTATCCAGTGTATTACACCGTTGGAACGAGTTATCGATATTTTCCGGATGTAAAAATTGCAAAAGGAAAAAGTACTAAAGGTCTTTTTGCTATTATTTTTAGTTTGGAAGAAAGACGAGAAAGATATATGTATATTTTCTTTCTTTTTCTTTTCGCGGGTCCTGAATGTTCTTCTTCCCCCCTCGCATCATGGTAAGCCACGTATAAAATACACATTCGTTTGATTCTCTCTCTCTCTCTTTCTTTTTCCTTTAGAAGAGTAACGCGTTCTCTCGTGCGCATGCTCCGTTCGTCTACGATCTCTATCCATGTATCTATCTCTACGTTACGTATACTTACATCTGTATTAGTCGCGCCCGGCAAGAATCGCGCGCGCATAACATATACACACGCTCAAAACTACGGACGCGTAAACGCCGTATTCTCGTATGCGCATGTTCTCTCCCATTCTCTCTCATTCTCTCCAATTCTCGTCTATCTTGACTCGAAGTATTATTTTTAAATGGACGCTCGGATAATTATATGTCGTGTTCAAAGGCCATACAGTTTCTCTCTTTCTCTTTATTTCTTTATTTCTTTCTTTTTCTTCTTCATTCTCTCTTTCCCTTTCTCTCTCTCTCTCTCTCTCTCTCTCTCTCTCTCTCTCTCTCTCTCATGGGACGCGCGTTACGATAAGGAATGGAAGTGCCTTGAGCACTTTACCTCCACGGACTGGAAGATAATTTACCGAGCTCGATTATGTTCCTAATCGGTTTTTCTATGCGATCATAGATTCGTTCTTTACAACAAGACAAATCGATTTTCTCCGATCATTTATTGTACGATCATTTAATTCCGATCATTTATTTCTAATGTATTTCGATATTACACGTTATGCACACATTATACGTCGTTGTTGCTTTATTATTATCAAAATAATTCTTGTAAAAGTATTCGTTTTATAACGAGACACGGAAACTTTTGACACATAATTAGTCATGTTGAACTTTTAACCGGTCGTAATCGATACGCGTAATCGCTGAAAGGATGTTTTTTAATTAGCTTTTTATTTTTTAAAAATATCTTTTTATCTTTGTTGCCAAGTAGTCGAAATGAATTGATTTTATGTGTACGCGCGATAAAATTCATTTTTCTAAATAATGGAAAAACATCGTTTGACTTTCGTTGTAAATTGTGATTCGTAATTATTGGAAATGAATAATCGGTAATAAACATTGATAACATTCGAACTCTTGTATATATAAATAATTAATAATTATGTCGATAAATCGATATGCGTTTCGAATGGATTTATTTATCATCGCCTAGTCGATGATCAGACTAGTATCCCACCAGGTTTCACGATACCTCACGTTGACCAGAAAAATCCCAACTTCCTCCTCGATGTTTCTTATCTTCTTATTCATTTTACCGTTAGACTTGATAGATGATTACTCGTAAAAAAAATAACATTATTGCGATGACATTATGTAAATTGTTAAATAAAAGGAAAAACAAGATAAATTGAACATTATTTTTTCCTTACGCAATCTATTCTTCCAAACGAATGAATAAATTATCTACCAATGTACGTGGACAAATAATAACGAAGAAAGTCTTTGCCTATTTAAAAGCAAATTAAAAAGAAAATGTGGTGGGGGGAGGGAGATGTAACAGGACGCGCAGAAGAACGGTTGCGCATGCATTCGCGCACGCACTGTCGAACGCACTGGCGCACGCACTGTCGAACGCACTGGCGCATGCACTTGCGCACGCACTGGCGCACGTTCGTGGTCAAATTGAACGACTAATACGAGCACGTAAGGAATAATGCAATCTTACGAATAGTTTGTACAAAAATTAACCAAAACATCATGACGATAAGTCAAACAATTTTTAAAATGAATTTATACTTTACGAAGAAGGAAATAAAAAAATATTGAAAAATTAGTAAAGGTCTTCTCGCATTAACTTAAAAATATCATCATGGGATTTTTGTCAACCTTTCGCATCCTTTAATTATTGTACCATTGGAGAAAAGAAAGAGTCTGGTCCGCCAGGAGCGATTTAATAAAAGTTTTGTGAATGTGTTCCAAGTCGACGCTTTCGATCCTCTCGCGAAACTGAGAGCGAGAGAGAGAGAGAGAGAGAGAGAGAGAGAAAACAAGAGGAAAAGACTGTCCCTGGAGAAGCTTTGCTGCGAAGTTCATTCGCTGTTAGTCGGCTCCGTTTTTTCATTAAACTAAGTGACTTCCTCCCGGTCGTCGATACATATACCACCACCCCGGTAATCCCTTTAAGTGCTTCATTCGATTCGCGCACACACTTTAACTCGCAACTAGTAGGAAAAAACGAAGACGATAGTACGACGCGAAAACGATTTCGGACGATGTTCGTATTGGCAGCTCGACCTTCGTTTTTTCCCCTCTTCAAACCCATAACGACGATAATTTGTTCAAGACGATTTCATTTATTTTGTCACTTCGTTCTGTCCAATTTATCTCCCCGCGATCTTTTATTCAGCTATTTTTTTTTTTTTTAATTACTTTTCCCTTCATTAAATGATGTATCAATGTGCGATCATCTAAGATTCGAAATAAGTCACGTCTAAAAGGATTAAATTATAAAAAAGCAAGTGTACTCAATTGAATTGTCTTTTTTCTTTTTTTTTTTTCCAATACATTTCTCGAAGAACATTGTTTTACAGCGACGACGATATTTCATTTTGACGAGTGCGATAAAGCGAAGAATAAAAAAATGCGATAAATAAGGAGAAAAAAAAAAAGAAAGAAAATTGGATTTCGCAGCGTTGTCTCGTACAATGCAATCACTCGATCGACGTTCATGGTGTCAGCGCCGGCGTAAAGATCATCGAGATACGTTCTCCCCTGAACCCCTAGTTTCCTCTCCCTTCTTTTACTTTTTCTTTCTTTCTCTTGGTGTACCTATATACAGAGATGAAAAGAAGAGCGTGTTAAAGCTAGGCTTCGTGAAACACGCCTCGTTTCACAGGGGAAGAGAGATAGAATAAACCAGAGAGAGAGAGAAAAAGAGGAAAAAAAGTCCCCGGAGGTATATAAACGCAGGAACGTGGTAACTTGCGACAGGATCGTAAGTTTATCTCTCAACGAGCTACGGAAAGAGCTAATGGCGAGGTGGAACGACGTCGAGCTGCTACTTCGACGAGAACGTCGATGCTAAAGGAGGCACAATTAAAAAAATAAAAAAGCAAAATAAGCAGATAAAAAGAGAAGAAAAAGTTAACATATTGCATTATTAACAAACACGTACAAGGATCCTGGTGGGTGATTTTTGTATGCAATATGTAAGGCGTTTCACTTTGGCTATACTAATAATTGAATTTGAATGATTTGTTCAATCATTGTTGTCAAAGATATTATTGGATTTGAGATAGTTGAAAAATTGACTCGTATCTTTTGTGCTAGATCGAAATCCAAGGCCACTTAAAAGGCCACTCAAAAGGCCTTTCACTTTTGGTTTGAGTTGAAAATTTTCGGTACCCTCGTCGTATGAAAAAAATGTTCACACGATACTCGAGAAAAGGAGCATTTGTTCGGGGAGGGTAAAGAATTTCCGTGCGCTCGTTTTTCTCGCGAATGAAAAAGTCGTCGAATGAAAAGCAACTACGCTCGCGCGTCCTATCTCTTTCCCTTTCTTTCTATATACCTATTGTATATAGTATATAACTATAGAATCTCTGTTGCACTATGTCTCTCGTATATGGCTCTCATAACGACAAGGGAACTCGTCTAATCTATTATTTATCAATCGTAAAGTCTTTAGAGGGACTAATTCGACGAGTTAGCCGCCAGCCGTTTCCTACTTTGGCTTTGCCCGATACACCTAACTGGTAAACGTTTGTTAGAACGTTCTCATCGATTAGATTCTCTTCGAAAATCTACGTTTACTCGGGGAACAAGGAAATCAATGTTTAATTATCGCGTTACAGGTGAAGCTTTGTGGATTTAAATACTTTAGTTAATGAAATTTTGATTTTTATCAAATATTCTAATGTATATATAATAGGTAATAGATAAATCGTTGGTAAATCGTATTAAATTATGTTTTCAAGTTAATTAAACATCATTACGTTGTATTTTTGAGAACATATATATTTTAGAGCTAATATCTTAACCTTTTTGTATACTTTATTTCTCCGATTAAATGTGGATTTTGGTATTTTCGAGGGGACGAAAAGATTCGAATCGCGCAATAAATCTGTACGAGTATTTCGGATAATTGACTTTTAGTTGGTACGTTAACGATCGTTAAAGCGTGTCACGACGATGTAATGAAGTGCGAGACGAAAAAGAAGAACTTCAAACGAATAGAAATAAAATAATATTAAGATAAGTTATTTCGTTCGCGTACGAGTTCTCTTCATTTCTGTCTCTGTTTTTCCCTTCGGTCAATTAGCTCGAGAGAAACCAGTACTTTCCGTCCAAGCAGTAATTAAGAAAACGCTGATTGCGTTGCAGACGCGATCTTCGAACTTTGACAAACGATCTCGAGGCCAACAGAAAAGAAAATTAATTCTTAGCTAAAATAAATAAT